GGGGGGGGGGGGGGGGGGGGTGCGCAAGAGCTGTGACCCTCCATAAAAAGTCTGAATGTGTTATTTCGCATGTGTGTGTCTGTGTCTGCATGTGTTCTTGTCCGAGTGAGCAGCCTTGTAATAATGCAAACAGTACCTACTTACATTTCGTGCCCACTGTTACATCTGCTTTGTGGGTGTATTATAGTTGAATTAATATTTTACACTTGTTGTTTTTCATTAAGCAGGACATGTTAAGTGTTTCTGTGTGCATGTTTTGTTTCGCAAATGTGTGTCTCTCAAATCCATGGGTGGTATGTAGCAGCCATTTAACAAACAAACAGTAATTAGTTCCTGTAATGGTTCTCCATTACATTTCTCAGCGGCCAAACTCTTTGAGAGGCAACCCAAGCACTGTTGCGTTATAATTAACAATAGCTTGTGTATTCCCCTAGAGGTGGCAATTTATGGGTGAGGGGTAGAGCGAGAGAGAAGGGAAGAATAAATAATACAAGACAGACTGACTTCTGCTTGTTTTCATTTATACTTCTTTGTTAGTGTATCCTTTTTCCTCTGTATAATTGTAGAAATCAACTGTGTACAGTTAGCCAAGCCATGTTGTTCAGCACTGTAAACTGAGTGAGTGCTGCTGTCTTAAATGCTTTCAACCCCCATTTTTCTCACATTTCTTGGTCATGGCCAATCCCCATTTTTCTATTTTTATTCCATGTCAATTACATGTCACTGCCAACTCCGACTGTTGCCCCAAGGAGAGTTTAGATCTAAATCTTTAATTTGTGGGAGGAGAGATAGTGTGAACCACCGTACAGCTGGCCACTTAATGAATACTTCATGTGTACTGTTCAACGCCTTCCTCTTCAGACCTAGTCAGCTATCATTGGGAGTTACCAAGACAGTAACAGAGGCTTGATCATTCATGTCCCCTTCTGCCAAGCAGCACCACAGTCAAATGCATTTAATATGTTTCCTCTTTCTTTTATCTCCCTGTCAAACTGTATTGGTTTTTTTGTTTGTATTATACAAATTGTATCCTAAATGTGCACTTATAGGTCTAGTGTGTAACATTTAGGAGGCTCAATTGGCAGACATTGTATATAATATCCATAGGTATGTTTTCATTAGTTTATAAGTGAGAGTATGTTTTTGTTACCGTTTAATGAGCCATTTTTATCTACAGAGCGAGCAGGTCCTCTTCTACGGAGTCCGCCATGTTGGACTGCCATGTTTCTGCATTAGCCCAAAAGGGACAAACCAAGGACTGGCTGTAGAAATGGGGCTTTCAAGTTTTCTGGAAGTTTGGCGCCCACTATAGTTTCTCCTTGGTTAAATCAAGGGGTTTCAGTTGGTTGCAGTCGGCAGTAGATACCACAAAATCTTACACACTGGTCCTTTAATAATGATGGTTTTGTTTTAAAACACAGGTTGTGGAGCTTCTAAAATAATGTGAGTAAATAATGTAGAAGGCTCAATCACTGTGTAGTGTCCTTAAGCAAGTTTTTTAATCAGAATGTACTACTACATATCGTAATATATTGGACAAGCTGTTCACACCAAAGCAATGTTAGTGTCATCATTGCTATAGATGAAATCATTATTGTTTGGTATTCACTATCATTGTGGAGCATGCTGTTGAAACAGAGCATTACTACATCCATCATTACTACAAGTATAGCCACCAAAGAACGGTACTGACTGCAGTATCAACACAACAGGAATACCCAGAGAATGAACTAAGCCCCATGTGTGATCTGAAGCTGAAGATTCAGGCTGAGTCTGCATGGTGTTTATAATAAATGGATGGCTGGAAACAATCTGAATACTAACTCTTTCACACACTTGTGTGTCTCTAGGTCTCTCCAGGACTTATCCAAGCAGACAGAGTTGCCTTATGGTACAGTGTTGGATTCTGCTGTATATGATCAGGTGCGCTCCAAGTCTATGAACCCCTTTGAGAGAGATCCCATGTACTCCCAGATGTGGCGGATGATTAATCGCACTGGAGGAGGAGAAAATAACGTTGAGGAGTCGAAAGAAGGCATTCGCAAGGTAAGTACTTTTTTAATTAGATGTCAGTTGCAAACTAAAGACCACTGACACCTGTAAAATCACTATGGTTAGTAAAATAAACTGGAGTCAAATTACACCTGGGATGGGATTTGAATACAGAGGGCAGGTGCAGATTGGCAGCAAGTCATCATTTGCCAACAGCTGACCTCGTCATTTTTGAGACCACATTTGGTTGTATCGAAATCAACCTGAAGGACACATTCAGTCTGTGAGGTTGTCACTTGCATGTACGTATATATCTTATATATTTTACATCTTCAGTCACCATGGGTTTTACAGTTTTTAATCTAACTTGTATTTAGTCTTTTTAACATATATACAGTGGTAGCCATCTTTCAGATAGTTGTCATTCAGGTTACAGTTAATGAGTCATATTAAACCTCTTTTATACAAGGAAGAGAGCAGGAGTTAGAAGATCAAATCAGAATTCTTGAACATCCACATTTACTGTTTACTTAAAATAAACATTATGTGATAGTATATGGTGATGTTAGCCCTGAAAACCAGATGGGTCTCGTGTTTTTATCGCACTGCAAGTTTCATCCCGCATCCCTGCTTTCCCAGACAGCAATTTCACTTGAGAGCATTGCTGCCGAGCATTATGCTAAATGTCCAAACCAATCATAAAACAAGTCATGTGACAAAGGCATAGCACACTGTGTGCAAGTGCTGTTGTCACTGAATAACGTGAGCAGCTGGTAAATAACACCACATTGCACAAAGGGATAATTTAATTTCTATATGTGATGTAATGATACTAGTAGGGATGAGAGCCAAAATGTCTGTTCCAATAGAAACACCCAGCACATTTATTTGTTCAACTCTTAGACCATTTATTCCCTTAAATTCCAAAATAGTAGAACACATGACTTTAGCAAGAGTTTCTTAACTTGTTTCTTTTTGCAAAAATCACACTACACTTCACTACAATGTTAAGTCAGTACCAGTGAGAATTGTGCATTTGGTTTTTAACCTTCATCCCCAATTAATTTGACCTATATGTTATACAGTACATCTTTATTGTACACACCTGTTTTACCATACAGCTCATGCTACAGGGTCGTCTGTGTTGATTGGGGATAAATCTATTTAAACGATGTTAATGATACACAGATAAAGCGCACATGGTTAAATACTTAATTTCCTCCGTGATTACAGCATCATAAATACCTGACTGCTGCATCTCATTTGCACGCATCCCACTTTCTGTTTGCATCGCCGTTCTCTCTTCCAGTGAGGGTCTCACTTTATCCCTCCTCCCTCTGGAATATATTAGACTTGAACTGTAGCCAACGTTGGAAGTGTTAGGAGTAGTGATTAAAGTGGCGGTGGTGTTTTTAAAATGATGAGATAAAGGAAGCACATAACAGCATATAAGCACACAACTCTTCACACTCACTCACACACTACTTGTTGGCAGAGGTGTTTATTTCAAATGTATAATTAATTAGAATCATTCAGTCAGTTTTTTATTGCTAAACAGAGCTGTGTGTATAAAAGCTAAATATATGTCTCTCTTGATTACCAACTTGACACCAGCAGCTTGACAGAACACACATAGCCTCTGATATGCCTGACTTGGCATGCAGATGTCGGTTTTCTTTTATTATTTTTATAATTAATATGGTGTAAATTTCATGTTAAGTCCTAGATAAAAATGTCTCCATTTTAAATGCACACAATTCTTAAATTATTTGTATTTAAATAAAATTCACATTTTAGGATGGTGTAAGTGATTCTGGAGGAATCAGTTGAGCATGATTAATGATACTAACTATTTTAGTCAACAATAAATGATGATTGCTTTCTACTAGCCAAGAGCGATGCAACAGATTGTTGGCTGTGGCTTGGCTGCATGGTGTGGGTTTGGCATTGGTTACTTTGTGGCGTTGGCTGATGTAAGTGGCAAGCTAGTTAATATCACAAAGTCACTAATCCAAATAAAATATCAGAACACAGCAGATAGTGACATTATATATTATGGTGATATACAGTAAAGTAACTGCTGTGAAATGTGGCTGCTGTTAGTTAGTTTAGTCAAACTGCCCTCAACGCCTGGGATTGGGTGCTCAGAGCACCAGGGGAGTGTTGGTGTTTACACTGGTAGCACAGGAGTTTTGGACCTCCAAGAGGAGGAAGTTTTCATGTCCCGGATGGTGGGGAACACTGATGGACAGCAGCACCAGCATCATGCCAGAACCAGAGACAGGCAAGTAGGCAATATAACTGGACTCAGCAACCTCTAAGGACTTAGGCTAATGGCAGAGGCAAAGAGACCTAAGAGGATGACAGAGGAAGCTAAGAAGAGAAGTTGCCGGAATCTCAGGCTGGCTTTTAGTTGTTGGCGAGACCTTTGTGAAATAAAAGGCTGCAGACAGACGCCGAGATGGCGTGAATAACAAGATTCCCCTTGAATCTTCTAAAATAGCTTTTAAGTAGTTCTAAAATGTTGACAGTTCTGCTGCAAGACTGCTCAGTATTGATGATTAAAAAAGTGAGTCACTATGTGAGCCAGGTCATTATCATAGACTAGCACAGAAGGATAATGTCCTCACAGTTTCATTTGCTGACACTGCTGGATAGGCTGTCCAGTTTAAGACACTGACAGACACCACGCTGTTGAGGAAATTTAAAGCCCCAGTTCCCTGATTTGTAGTGGACTAGCGTGGTCATTGCAGCTTCAGATTATACAGGATGATCTGATGAATACACAAGTACGCGTGGATGCTGATCAGACTTGAACCACCTCATCCACTGTTTTCTATGTAAGAAGTAAGTTAAGTAAAAGTGATAAATAGTGTGGAATTCATTAATTTTTGATACCTTATTTTTCAGCAGAAAGAGCAATGGCAATAATATAAAGTAAAGTGAAGAACAATTCTATGACTGTATTGCATTAAATGTAAAGGTAGAGTGTAGTCATTGCAACTGAATTCTCTATGATGAGTAAGTCATATAAAATAGCAGTAGGGTGTGAGGAGTGACAGGAGACGGTCCTGGTCATAAGCAGTAATAAGTTTTCATGGATAAATTCTACATGACAGAGGTGGCACCTCCAGAGTGGCAGCAAGTACTGCACAGCAGCAACGAAAGCGAATGCAGGAAGAAGGCAGACCTCTTCTCCTTCTTCCCCGTTGCCTGAGTCTTGCTTGATTTGATGCTTTCCTTCGTTCTTTCGTCCTCTCTTTTTATTTTACATGGCCTTACTGTTTTCTGTTTTGTTTTTTGTGGCTTTTTCTACCGTGCTTCTTTTTCACTGCATCACCAATTATTTGCAAATGTCTATGTTACTGTCCTGACACTACTCTATTTTTTTTCTTTCTTTTTCCACCACTATATTTTCCCTTTCTGTACCCTCACCCCCGTCTCTCTGTCAGTCTCGTATTCATCTACATTGTGTTAAAGGCTACAGGGTGCACTCTAGTGGTACAGTAATGCTTGTCCCTCTCTCTTAGCTGCACTGACACAAGCTGATGTTTTCTTTTTGCTGCAGTGACACCGTCCATGACACTGTTGCCATGTTTGATTGAATGCTTAAGTGAAACTCTAATGCAACTCTAATTATTATTATTTAATGATTCCTAAACACAGTGCTATAAATGTGTATTTAACCTCTATTTACTGACTTACTCCTCTACATTTACTACTCAGTGCCTAAAATTAATCTTCCTCTCAGAGAAAATTTAAATATAATTTTACCTTGAAGCTTGTCACATAGAGAAAAAATAACTGTCAAAGGCTCAGTGATCTCTTATTTTCAGTTGCTATTCACAAGGTCTGCTTATAGTATATGAGCCTCCACTGTACAGTTAATAGTTAGGAAAGTGAAACAATCACCTAAAACATTTCTTGTGGAGAAGGTGGAGACCTTCAACCTGTTATGATTTCTTCTTATACTGACAAATATATTTAAAAGCTAGTGAACAGTATCTTTAATAGCATTTTCAAGCCAGAGGCTATTTGGAAGGCCATGATGTTTTTAACAGAGCCCTTGAGTCAGTCAAACTCAGACATCTTTTGTTCTCTGTCTCGGTTTGATTTATTTGGATGTCTTTGTCTTCTTCAATCCAGTCCCTATATTTGATTCCTGTGAGGTTAGGAACTTGATATATTTTTCCCCTCAGTGTCATGCTCTCTCTGCTTCTCCTGATGCTGCTTTCTCTCTTCCTCTCCCCCTCTTTCGCAATAAACCTCTTACTCCTCTCTGTCACCAATGTCTCCTGTGCACTATGGATTTTCTTCCTTTTCAGTTTCGATTCCCTGCAGCAGAATAATATTATATGTCAAAACGGGTCAGTGTCTTAGCTCTCTCTAGTATCAGTGACACACCATCACACACACATACATGTGGAAACACTCACATGCACACACAAATACATGCTCTCAAGTCTGAAAGGGTGTGTTATACATGTACACCAACATATTCACTCATGTGCATGCACTGACACACACACACACAAACACGCATGCAAAGCCAGGAAAGTGCTGCAGGTTGAAGCCTGTCACATGGTAATATACGCATCGTTCCTATTTCTGTCAATGATCAAGTGTTCAATAAACTAAGAGGTGTTGCTCCTCAGACTTGATATCTCATTAACTTTGTGTCACATATATATCAATGACGAGTGTGGTGTATGTCACTGTTTGATAGAATGTCGCTTCCATTTCAGGCAATGTGTTACTCAACTTTGATGTCTATTTATTCTTTCAGAGCGAAAAGACAATATTTTTCTTCTCTGTCTTTTTTGTGTGTGTGTGTGTGTGTGTGATGTTATTAGGCAATGCTTTTAGCTGAGGTGCTCCTGACAGCTCAGCATTTGACTGTTGTGCTGACTTGTAAAAGTAATGACTAAAATTAAGTATCAATTACATACCCTCTTAATTACTTAACCTCTGCACCCCCTTGACTGGGACTTGTAAATTACTGACACAGACCATAATGAGATGTGCTAATAATATGAGGCATCATGTATTTGTTATAAAAAGACAAAATCATAGTGACAGTAGAACATAGAAACTCCCTCAGCCAAAAAACATTTACCAACCAGACAGCTCTGCAGCAGTACTATGTCATACTGTTTTTTTTTTCTGGTGCATTATGTATACATACTGCAGCTTCAATGGACACTATTTATGTTTTATGCATGTCCATATTAAAGCCTTTTTATAATATGAAATCAGTAATAATATAAGGTTGTTTTTTTCTGTCTAGTCATAATTGATTCCAGCAGATGCCACAGAAGACTATAATGGAATGGGAAATGGAAATGTTTCTCTGAGTGCCTTTTAAGTAGCACACATATGCATATATATGTATATGTATATGTGTGTTTATATATACATATACATGTGTGGCATTCACTCAGACACAAAAACCACTAAAACCTTCACATTTGCATGATTAAACAGACA